CTTGCCACAAAAGGACTGGCTGACATCATGTCAGTGATTCTCTCATTAACACAGGTGAGAGTGTTGATGAGGACAAGGCTAGAGATCACTGGCATGTGCAGTTATCATTGCTTTGCACAAAAAGGGATTCACAGACAAGGAGAATGCTGCTAGTAAGATTGCACCTAAATCAATCATTTATCATTTAAGGGGAGAGGTTAAATTGCTGTGAAGAAGGCTTGAGGGCACCCACGAAAGTCCAGCAAGTGCCAGGACTGTCTCCTAAAGTTGATTCAATTGCGGGATCTGGGCACCACCAGTGCAGAGCTTGCTCAGGAATGGCAGCAGGCAGGTGTGAATGCATCTGCACACACAGTGAGGCCAAGACTTTCTGATGATGGCCTGGTGGGCAGCAAGAAGGGCAGCAAAGAACCCACTGAGGAATGGCAGCAGGCAGGTGTGAATGCATCTGCACGCACAGTGAGGCCAAGACTTTCTGATGATGGCCTGGTGGGCAGCAAGAAGGGCAGCAAAGAACCCACTTCTCTCCAGGAAAAACATCAGGGACAGACTGATATTCTCTAAAAGGTACAGGGATTGGATTGCTGAGGACTGGGGTAAAGTCATTTTCTCTGATGAATCCCCTTTCTGATTGTTTGGGGCATCCGGAATAAAGCTTGTCCGGAGAAGAAAAGGTGAGCGCTTCCATCAGTCCTGTGTCATGCCAACAGTAAAGCATCCTGAGACCATTCATGTGTGGGGTTGCTTCTCAGCCAAGGGAGTGGGCTCACTCACAATTTTGCCTAAGAACACAGCCATGAATAAAGAATGGTACAAAAACATCCTCCGAGAGCAACTTCTCCCAACCATCCAAGAACAGTTTGGTGATTAAACAATGCCTGTTCCAGCATGCTGGAGCACCTTGCCATAAGGCAAAAGTGATAACTAAGTGGCTCGGGGAACAAAACATCAAAATTTTGGGTCCATGGCCAGGAAACTCCCCAGACCTTAATCCCATTGAGAACTTGTGGTCAATCCTCAAGAGGCTGGTGGACAAACAAAAACCCACAAATTCTGACAAACTCCAAGCATTGATTATGCAAGAATGGGCTGCCATCAGTCAGGATGTGGCCCAGAAGTTGATTGATAACATGCCAGGGTGAATTGCAGAGGTCTTGAAAAAGAAGGGTCAACACTGCAAATACTGAGTCTTTGCATAAACTTACTGTAATTGTCAATAAAAGCCTTTGACACTTATGAAATTCTTGTAATTATACTTCAGTATACCATAGTAACATCTGACAAAAAGATCTAAAAACACTGTAGCAGCAGACTTTTTGAAAATTTATATCTGTGTCATTCTCAAAACTTTTGGCCACGGCTGAATGCTGAATATTTCAAGTGCCATGAAGGCATATGAAAGGCATTTTTGTCTTTTTTTTTTTCCATTTCCTTTTTTCTTTCTTTGTGTAAATGAACAGTTGTTATTGTGTGTTGTCAAAAGACCCACGCTATGAGTCCTATAGACCAGGAATTTCAAACTTTTTAATAGCAAGGAATATTAAATTAATTAATAAAGCAATTATTAATTGTAAGTTTGGGTTGGGAAAAAAAAGAAAAAAGAAAAAAATTCTTTAATTTTGTGTATATCTTTTTGTTTACCCTTGCAGTCCCCTGGAGTCTCTGATATTCCTTTAACTAATCCCTCAGCATTTTGGCAAATAATTCAAAAGCATGTTTTTGCATAGAACTGCACACAAAAATGCCATGGTCTCACAGACTTTATACCCAGACAATGAATATAATTTAGAATAAAAAATGACAGAACAAAGCTTCACTGTTATCTACCAATAAAGAAATTGTTCAAGGTTTTTGTCTCAAAATGTTACTCTCATTCTCGTTTTTTCTCACTTTAAAACTGGCTGTTGTTAAACTCCCAAATGCCCACTGTCACCTCTAAGAACAATTTTGTCTTGTCTAGAACGAAAGCTTGTAATTCCAATTCCTTTTCCAGCATGTTCAAACAAGCGTTTTTTTGGAACGAGCTAATCAAAGATGACAGCTGAAATATGGAGCTAGAAGATCTAGTGACTTTGAAAAGTCTGACACCCCCTATGAACAGAGATAGAAAGACAGAAAGACTGCCACCCCTTCTCAAGACAACCACTGTATGTTTATTATTATTATTATTATTACTACTACTATTGTATACAGATTAAAGGGATATTTCACTCAACAATTAAAAATTAAAATTATATAATAATTTGCTCACTCTGACGCGGTTCCAAACTTGTATGGCTTTCTTCCTTGAGTAGAACACAAAATAAGATATTTAGTAGAGCATCCTATTTTTTTCCCCATACAATAAAAGTGGAAAAAAGCAGAAATAGCCGTGGTAACTATTCACTTCATTGTACATTATAAGGAAAAGAGCAGCTTGACATTCTGCTAGATAGCATTTTCCCACACAAAGCAAGAAAGTCAGGTTTAGAACAATATGAAGGTGAGTAAATTACAGAAGTTTTAGTTTTGAGTGGACTAATTAAAATGTATGCTTTTGTCTGATATGACTTTGTTGGATATTGTACTGAGCCTTGTGAAAAGTATGTCCACAATCTGTCATAAATTTTCAAATGGCTTTATCCTTCTTAGCTCTATATTGCAGTTAGACTCAGCGCCCCCTTTACAGCTGCTTGTCACACGGCAACATACTGCTCTGATTCAAAACCAGAATGAAAATTATGAAAACAGGAATGATGTTCTATGAATCAGAGACAGAAAATGCAGATTGGATTTCTACAAATACAAAAGTCAGAGATTTTATTGTGCATTTTTGTAATTTACAACAAAACAAAATCAGTTTCAATATAATCCATATCAACAAATCAAAATTTGCACAACTCTCCATAGTTTGTATGCCTCTTTTGCTTTAATTGTTTGATCATTTTCCCAAGAGCATCTTGACCTTTTGTTCAAAGGATTTCACATTCAATGTCACAAATTTGCTAATGAGTTAGTAGTGCAGAATCCTACATTAGTCCTCTTCATTTTACACCAAAACCTTTATTTTCCCCTAATATTTTAAATTCCAGATTTTCAATGTAATCACAGATTCTGCTGTAGTATTAATGCAGACAGTATACTGTCTTAAATATATAGACTAAATTTGCATCTGGGCATAATCCCTTTTGTTCTCATTAAACATGAAAGAGTGAAAAGGATGTGGAGAAGATGGAGAAAAATCTAGCAATTCAAGGACTTGTCGTGGCACAGCTAGGACTGACAGTGATATATTTTGTCCGGGAGGCTGCGGTTTTGCATTCTGTAGTGTGATTGGATCCCATGAGAATCCCAATGAAGCTGTGAGCATTGCAGCCGAATGCTGTCACTGAAATCAGTCCCTGTTGATTTCGGCTTGGGTGACGGAAATGCGTTATCACAGCAGGAGCCCACTGTAATAACGCATCCACTCACCAGCATCAGCTTCTATACAGCTGCTTCTAGAGCAGGCTAAAGAACTCACAACACAGTACTGTGTCAATCCAACTACTTTATATGAACAATAGTGGACATTTTTTCAAAATAAATAAGTTTTGAGCACACCTGTTACAGCAGAATATGAACAGTTTTTCAATCTTTGAGTATGCGTGTTTGTGTATGAAAGAAAATTAGACTGATGTCTCCAGGATAGTCCCAGCTGAGTGGGCCAAAACTGACAACTGGAACGACCTACATACAGCGAGAAGATGTGAAGACAGTGAGAGGCTGTTTTATCAAGCATGCTTTAGTGTTTTGAATATGACTCCACTGTATGTCACTGAATCATATTTGAATGTATTTGACTAAACCTTGTTTTCAACCAGAATCCAATGTTATCCATTCCAAAGCATGAGGGATGTGGACAATAAGTGCATGGCTGACATTAACTATGTTTACATGAAGCCTAATAATCATTTAATAATCCAAATGACAGCAAAATGCACCAGTAGAAAAAATAAATGTAATTTAATATCAATTAAATTTGTGATTGAAAAGGCAGTGCAGATTTTAAATGATCTGAGTCATTTGAATCCATGATTTGCACAATCATGTGGCCAAAAATATGTGGACAACCTCTTCTTATTAACAGTTCATTAGGTTTTCATTTAGTTTTGTTTTAAACTTGCTTTGTTGCCTTTTTTATCTAGGTTGTCAATACTTCATTCTACTTATTTTACCAGCAAAGTTCCTCACTCATAACTTGCCAACAAAGTTGTCAACTACTAGCATAACAATGTCAATAAAAGTTAAGTGAAAAATGCACAGATTGAAATCTTGTCTAATATGAAAAGTGATGAAAGCAGTGAAAATTCCTAGTACACACTTGGGAAACTGCTTGACCAGTCAAATTCAAGGATGAAGACCATGTTAAACCACTTGCAATGGAAAAGTCTCTACTGCACCTTTCAGGAGAGAATGGTTGTACAGTCCTGCTCTATGGAATGACAACTCTGGCATAATTAGAAATAAATAAATGTACAAAGAAATGTAAAAAAGCAAATATAAATAAATAAATATGCAAAGAAAAGTAAAAACGCGAAAATAAATTATTTCCTTATTAAATATTAAAATATAAATATTCTCGGCAAAAAGTCTCACGATTTATTTCCAGAACATGATGCATGATGGGATACACTAAGCCTCGAACATAACGAATACCCTAGCTATTCTATAAAACGGAATTTTCATAAAAAAATCATGAATCACGAATATGATGAAATAAAATTATTACTGCATTAAGCTGCTTATCATTGCTCTTTTGTTGATTTTGATTGTTTCCATTGTCCTCATTTGTACGTCACTTTGGATAAAAGTGTCTGCTAAATGACTAAATGTAAATGAAATATATATACAGTATATATATATATATGCCTTGAATTCATTAAGTAATGTTTTATTTCGTTCTAACCTGTAACTCAGGAAATGTAACGAAAAAAAAGCCTACCATTTTTACTTAAAACCAATTCATTTTTAAGCTTGTCTTCAGTGAGCTTGAGTTTTGTTGTAGTGTTTAGTGAAGCTAGTAAAGCTAGTTTGTGTGTTCCAGGGACATTGGCGTGATGGTGAAGCTCTATCCCAACATGAGCGCTGTGCTCCTGCACAACTCCCAGCTGGACCACAAGCGGGTGAGCACCTGTCCTCCTGTCCTCTGACCCTGCTCGATCAGCTTCTGAAGTGTGTGTGTGTGTTTCAGATCAAGCACCCCAGCGCTCTGGGACTGGAGGTCGGGCAGCAGATCCAGGTGCAGTGGGCAGCAGCCGCAGCGTGTGCTCTCTGAGCTCTGCGGGTTTCTTCACCGGTGTGTTCTGTTCTCTCAGGTGAAGTATTTCGGCCGAGACCCCACGGATGGCAGGATGAGGCTGTCTCGTAAGGTGCTGCAGTCTCCGGCGGCGGCGGCGGTGAGGAGTCTGAGCGACAGACACAGCATCTCTGTAGGAGCGTCCGGAGAGCAGAGCCCAGACTCATAGAGCAGCTCACCTGCACCTTACTGAACACACTGTATTTTATAATAAACACTCTTATTACACACATTGTCCTCACTTGAGCTTTTGCATTACACCGTGTCCGAACTACACACGACGCGATAAAAGGTATCTTTTCCATGTTAATCTTGAGTTTTTGTCCTAACTTGCCGCGACGGCGACACGCAAAATTTCTATTTTAGAAACAGGTTCTATTTGCGCGACGCTGGAAAAACAACATACAAACTATATGAAAGTAGATAATCTCAGGTGATCATGTGCTTTATTCAAAGTTAAAAGTCTCTAATATGAGTTTAAATGTAATTTTGTGTGACCTTATAGCCATACTGAAAGCAACAATAGATAGTTTACCTCAGATCTTGAAAATAAAGCAAAGATGACCGTTAAAACTGAACTCACTGCGAACCAACAAGTGTATTCCATGACAAAGATGTTATCAGTCATTCAGTATGTACATTTAATGATGTTAAAAAGCTTTAATATTTATGAATTATGAAACACGCTTCTGATTGGCTTTGATATTTGGCTGCGTTTGGTGTGGACCATAGACTGTATTAAAACAGGTGTGGACACACAAATTGCTTGTCGCTGGAATCTTGTCGTGCCGCGTGTAGTTAGGACATGGTGTTACACGTTTGCGAAGGGTGCAAACCCCGGAGCATAACTATGGAACGCCAATCCTGCCATAATTAGAAATAAATGTACAAAGAAATGTAAAAAAGCAAATATAAATAAATAAATATGCAAAGAAAAGTAAAAACGCGAAAATAAATTATTTCCTTATTAAATATTAAAATATAAATATAAAACATGTTTAATATTTGCGACTGACACCAACGATTGTATGCAGTGGAGATGCGTTTACTGTCAAATATCATTCAGCATTCATTTTGAAATTTTGTCAAAGAAAAAAACTCTATTGTTCTTGTTGTGCTTTATTTAGTTTTTCATTTAATTCGTAAGTTAACACTGCAAATTAAATTATTTCATTTTTTTCTGCAGTTGAAGAAAGTATAGCCTAAATTATGTCAGTGATTTCTCTCATTTTAAAGATTATCAAGAACTTTTTTTTTTTTTCACGATGTGCAGTCAAATAAAAGTTAAGAAAATTAGCCTACACATCTATAGCCTACACAGGCTAATTTCATTCTTTCTTAACTTTTAACTTCTTAAAATGTATTATGAAGAATTTTAAATCAACTTCATAACAAATAGGCTAATGAATAATGAATACCCTAGCTATTCTATAAAAATACATTTTCATAAAAAAATCATAAATCACGAATATGACGAAATAAAATTATTCTATAGCCTATATATATACATATATATATATATATATATATATATATATAAATTAATTATATATAATAGTTTTACGTCAAATGGATATGGAAATTACAGTGCCTTGAATTCATTAAGTAATGTTTTATTTCGTTCTAACCTGTAACTCAGGAAATGTAACGAAAAAAAAGCCTACCATTTTTACTTAAAACCAATTCATTTTTAAGCGACATACATGAGATAATATATTATTGTTTGACTAAACGTTTAAAAAGAATGCTAGAAATGTTATAATTAAGGGAATTAAACATAGGCCTAGGCATTTGAAAATACATAATAAAATGTGTCTTCTCAAGCAATAATTCCAAAAAGAAAGAGAAGCATCGGACTTAATGCAAAACATAGTCAAGACACATTGCTGTGACATTTATTAGGAACACCAACATAGCAGGAAAGTTAATGTTTTCTGTTATATTAAGTACAAACTAAGAAAAGTAAAATAAACCTTTACGTTTCAATAGCTAAAAGCACTGTGTTGTCCGCATTGTGGTCTTTGATGGGGTGGGAGCAGCTGTGGGAGCATGCTGCGGGTTTTGTGAGTTTTTTGTTTTTGTTTGTTTTTGGTTTGGCAGAATTTGTCCAGTCGTGACGCGCCAGTCGTTAGGTGTGTGCTCCTCTCTGACTGTCAAAGAATCTGCTCCAGTCGATGGTAACGGTCTTTTAGTGTGTTGAGGTCAGAATGTTTCTGCTAGTCCTGTAGTGACCATTGTAATAAAACAATAAATTTTTAAACCATTTAACCCAAGGGTAGAGCCCTGCACGGGCCTCAAATATAGGCCCTAGCCCAGCCCTGGCCCGAGACGCTCAGACCCTAGCACGGCCCGGGTCCGACAGCTTATCAGAATTCTTGGCCCGAGTCCGACCCGAGCCCGTCTTGTCCCCCCAACCCCTTCTCCAGGGGCGTCTAGAGGGGTGGCATGGGGTGGCACCGGCCCCCCTCAAAATATATAATAACATCTGCGGTGCGGGTGCATTTAAAATTAGAGTTTGTGCTTAGTAGTGTTATTCAGCCGTGATGCACCAGCACAGCTTAAAATAGAAATCGTTATGTTACGTTTCTTGCTGTTGTTTCAAAGATTAAAGGCACAATCACTTTGTCAAATTGTCTGCAGTAACGTGGTTAACGCTAAAATGTGGGGTTTTAATAATGTTAGCATTCTGACACTTGGAATTTTAAGATGTAGAATAGTACACACCTGTTTGTATTGAATAAACAAACATTTTTGCGTGGTAGTCATATATTTTCGTTTGCAATGTCGAAGAACAGCTTCACATTTAATGACAAATGATTTTGTCTTTAATCAGATGAGAATATGGCTATTAAATATACTATTTGTGTAATATTGATGATTAAGTCAGAGGTTTGTTTATTTTTAGACAGAATTTTGTGG